CTTTTCCTTTGATACGTTCAAAGACACTGGGATGTGGTTTAGGATCTTCTTCTCCGTCATCTATGACTAACTTAAATTTTGGTAACTTGTTCTTGAATCCAGATGTTACCATGTTTACCCCAAGTGGCTGTGGGAAAGGATTCTCGTCCACTGCCATCTTTTTCTTATCGTCGAACGTAATTCGTCCTGACTCAATAGCATCCTGCAATACGTGACGAAAAACCAAGCAATTGTTAGTCAAATGTGACCATGCATTATGCCACTTACAATATTTTTTACCCTTTATTTGTTCAGGGTTTGGCAATTTGTGCTTATCGCTCAGTTTTATTTGCTTATCCCTATATAACTTATCGAATATAAGGTCAGCTTTGGTTACATCGAACGAGAACGTTCTAGCCTTTATGTTTCCATCCTTTACGGGTTCATCTTTGCCCGATGGCCTAGGTTTGGCCATTATGGGACAAGTATATGTATCCCCTTTTACCAATTCGGCCAAACACATTTCGGCCTGATCATACGATTCGTCATCGATGGTATGAACGTCAAAATTCGGGTCTCTGTATTTTAAACAAACAAATAAAAAAAATTTGGGCCCTTTGAATAGTTGGGCCTAAGGCGATGGCCGTTAAATGTTTCATAAAGTCTTGTTAGTTTTCAATTGTTTGATAAATAAAAAATTTTAGTAGATTTTGATAAAAAATAAAAATGACGAAATATTTTGTTGAGAAATTGATAAAACTTGTGACTACCATAAAATGTGCAATTAAACTTAATTATTGATTCTAATTTAAATTTCTATCAACGTTTATAGTAAAACGAATATTGACTAAAATTGTATTTATTGTGAAGTTGATATTGTTCAACAATTTATACCAAACATGAAATTTACGGAAAATTTTCCCCACCTTAGATTACTCCAATGGCAATACAACGTTAAAAGCTTAAATCAAATTATATAATTCCCCTTCCCTTTCGACCTTTTCACCTCGATCGTTTGCCGCTTCTCTCCCTTTACGAGAGTGAGTGTGGCAATCAATATATCAAAAAATAAAGAATCTGCCCGAATAAATACACCAAAAATGTTGAAGGCTAAAAGTCTTGCAGGTTTGATTTTGATCACTTTCATTGTTTTCTCCCAAGCCAAAGTGATCCATGACACCCCAAGAAACTTATTGAAGAAGCGGGTGGTGAGAGCATTCAACCGCCAAACCAGCTCTCCTCCGCCCCCGTTTGTGCCTAAATACGACGAGCAACAGGCCGCGTATGTCAAAGCCCACAATAACCTTAGGAGGAAAGTTGGCATCCCACCATTGACGTGGGACGCGAATTTAACCACGGCCGCTCGTTCATGGGCGGAGCAGCGCAAGGTAGATTGCGATTACAGGCACCATTCTCCAGGAAAATATGGGGAGAATCTTTTCTGGATGCAATATTCAGAGTTTACACCGGCTTCTGTGGTACAAAATTGGTTCAATGAACAACAGTTTTTCGATCATACCAAGAATCTTTGCCTGTGCCAACCGGAGACAGATGGATGTGAATGTGGCCATTATTTGAATGTGATATGGAAAACTACGACAAGGGTTGGGTGCAGTGGCTCTGTTTATTGCGACAATCAAAAGGGTGTTTACGTTGTGTGTTCCTATGATCCTGCGGGGAATATCAAGGGTATGGACCCATTGAATCCTGGTAATTGAGGGGATTTTTCAATTGTTGGGTAGTTTTGTTAGGTACATCTCTTAGATCTCTACAATAATTTTGAACTTTAAAGCGAAGCCAAATGTCATAATGGAACAAGATTGTTCCTTCGTCATCCTTATTTTCTTCAAAGATGTATTAGATTTGTATGTCTGCTTGTAACTTCCGTTATTCTTTGAAGTCTAAGATTGTAGGGATTTTGATAGGAAGAAAATTCTTTAGTTTTAATCATTTATCTCGTTGTGACTTGATAAAATCCACCATTAAAGTGCTTGGATATTGACGAGTAAATTTATTCTGCAGGCTTGTACAAAACCACAATGACTTGGATTTATATTAGTCAACATTTTAGAACCTAAAAATAATCGTCTCATTATAAAATTTAAGTTGTCAAAGATGAGTCACGTGTTTCTTTATACACATTCATTTCTTTTTAAAAATTTTGACCTGTGCAATTGTTTCGCGCGTGTTAATTCGCTAACAATTAAAGAGGATCAGACGATTGTGTAAGGGACGAAACCTCTTGAGACAAAGTCCCAAAAAGGGGTGTTCTTTTTATTGGCGATGAACTTTACAATTGGAAACGGAAAACAACGTGCCTCCAAGGGACGCAAGCACACGAGTTACAGAAAAGGAAATGTTTAAGTCTAAAAGTTAA